CATCCAAACATTTAATGTGGCCCTGCAGCAACAGCTGCGAGACCTCCAGGAGCAGAGGCCTTGACAAGGACGTAGAAATTCATGGAGCTGCATTTCTACCAGCGAAATGCCTAGAGCCAGGCTCAGACTGGGACTGCCAAGCTTGCCAGGCAACAGCACTATCCTGTGTGCCACTGCAACCTGCCTCTGGATCATGTCGGGCGAGGGCCTCCTCAGCTCTTGGATCTCCCCCCAGGTGCTGGGGGTTATCATGAAGCCATCAGCACAGACATCAGGGGCAAAGAGAGCTTCTGCCACATATGGTATGATCTGAGCATCCAGCAACATTTGGGGCTGGATCCTGTTCCACCCATTAGGCATCTAAGTGGTACTTGGGTATCTAGGTGCATTTGTTCTCCCCTGAGAACCTGAAACATTTGATGCATCTGTTTTGGAAGCCAACTTCTTTGCCTTAAAATTAAGCTCCAAAAATCAGCAGAGAGGAGGAGGAGGAGGACCTGCCTTGTGTGTGGCAGGTGTTTCAAGGACTTGCGCAGGGTGAAAGAGAATCGCATAGAAACCCCCAGTCAATGGACTAAGTGCCCTTTCTCTTTAAAAGTGACATTTCCCGAGCTCTGATGCTGATCATCTCTGCCACTTCAACCAACTGTAAGGGGGAGTGAACCACTTATCACAACAGATGCAGCATTCAAGGAACGGCTGTTTATTACAAGTTGCTACATGACAAATAAAGGCAAAGTTGCTCCAGAAGGAAAAAACATACAACGAAATGAAAAGGCTTAAGGTAAAAGGCAGTGTCATTGTTGAAGGTGTTTTTGTCCCTCCGTTGATGCAATGGGCAGTTTAGTGCCCAAGTACCGTGGTAATTTCCCAAGTGTTAAATGAAGTACGTTAAAAAAAAGAGAGCAGGAAATGCTGCAAAATGACCTCAATCCTTTGGTTTTCAAACCACACAAAGGCCCAGAAAACACCACACCCCCTAAGCTCCCCAGCCATCCATTTCCAGAGGGTTATGCTAGCATGGCTGATGCCACCTCCTCAGTCAGCCGAGGCCACTACATAGAGCATCACATCCCTGTACCACACATGCACTGCCATCAGATCAACAAGGGGAGGACCGGCTGTGCATGCATTAACAACAGCCCTTTCGGAAAAGCCAGCCTGGTGCATGCTCAGTTCCCTTGTGAACCTCAAGTGGCCTCCTTTAAGAATTTGGATTAAAAAAAAATCCATGTTAGAGTAGCTGCTCTTTGCAGAGATCCAGTTCCTAGCATAAATTAGACCAAGAGGGAGAGGATGTGTACGTGCATCATGAGACTGCTTTGCTGCTCTCTGGGTAGGGGGAAAAAATGCGTTCCTTCTCCAAGATCATGACTGTTGACTTTCAGCCCAGCACAGCCAGCCAGGAGGCTCTGGAGCGGAGGGAGCAGAACGAAGGCATGAGCAGAGTGGAACATTATCCAGCCCGGCCGAACATAAACGGACGGAGCTGGAGAAGTTTAACACCGCAGCACTTAGGCAGCATTTCAATTCCCGCACAAAGGTTAACCACTTAGAACCAGATTTTGACAGTCAAATAAGCATCCCGACTTCTGGCAGGGCTGACTACCAGGAGGCAACTACCGCTGACTTCAAACAGGGCAGGCAGAGGACTGTGACCGCAGAAAGTCAGGATACTTACTGACTTGCCAAAATAGACCCTTAAGTGCTTGCATCCTTATGCTGAGATATTTGGCTTGAGATTTAGGCTCTTGACTCCTGGGTTTTTTTCCAGGAACTAAAAGGTGCCGATAGGCTGCTTAGAACCAGCACAGGGTCAAGCTGTGGATGAAGCACACACACGCATCCAACTGCTTACCGAAAGACACTAATTGCTATAATGAGTCCCAGGAAGCCAGCCAACACCAGTCTGCGAATGCTCCCTTCCCGGTGCTAGCTGGCCACTCAGATGACTAACAGGAGGATAACATTAGGCTGTGGCTTTTCTTCACCAGGCTAGGTTTGCTCCTCAAGGGCTCCATCCTGCACCACAGACTTAACCAGGAGCAGGCATGGGTTGTGGTCTAGCAGACAGGCTCTCAGATGGCTAGGTATGAACAGCAGAACCAGAGGGCCTGTCATCCCACCCCCTAACACCCAGAGCGAGGCAGCTGAACCAAGTGACAAATATCGCAATGTTTGCAAAGCACAATGATGGCGCACAGCCCCCGAGCTGGCTCCCGTCGTGTTTGTATTGGCAGATCGAACTCCCAGCCACGTCCTGCACTCACTTCTGTTGTTTTTTTCTCCCACATAAACACCTTCTGCCAAAGCCCTTGGCACATCTTTGCTTCCTGGTGGCTTCTGCGAATGGGTTTTGCTTCAATTCCATGTTTGGGGATTTTTCTCTTTTTTTGTGTGGTTTTTTCCATATAGGAGAAAAAACAAACTTTGCACAAACTTTGTCAGCTGCAGAAGACATTTTGGACCCCTTGCGGTCAGTCTCACTCCATTGCCATGTGTAACACATGGGTTATTTAGTTTGTCCTCATGCAGCCAGGGAGACTTACCTGGGGAGCTGTAAATACTCAGTTAGCAACTCTTCCCACCTTTTTCCTTTCTCCCCTTCTCTTGCCTGGTTTCAATCTCAGTGGATCAATGACCTGACATCCAGGTCCCCAAAAGGCTTCTAAGTGCAAACAGGGTATAGGGTAGGTGCAGTTTTCAGACTGTTCAGAAGTCTTCCAGCTGCAGTCACTGCACCGTAGCATCTGTGCTGCTTCAGCCTGCTAGTTTTCTATGGATCTAGGGCAGTGGTTTTCAGACTTTTTCAGGTTGAAAACATTTCAAATGGAGGTGTGGACCCCTCTGAATTGTAAGTGTGAGTATTCACATACCTTGGATTCATCATAGGCATCTTTTGCTGACCCCTTAAACAGTCTGTGGACCCTCTGGGGTTGAAAACCACTCTTCTATGGTATGATGGTCACTGTGCCAGGAGTCTGGCAGCAGACTCCCACAACACCCCTACTGTACAGCATGTGCAGACTATTAGGAACACGGGAAATCTTCTTAATTAATCCCTCTCACCAGGGGAAGCCTCTCCCCGTGACACTAGCACAGACTCCTAATTAGTAACAGTCGTCTGGGAAATGAATGACAGTCATAAGGCATTCCTGGATGAGAGAAGGCTGTTAAGTAATTCTCACCTGAGAGTTGCTGGAAAAGCCCAAGCTGTCTCCATGATTCTGGAGACTCCGGTCTAACCGTATCTACTGGCAGTGAAACCATCACTCGGCACCTGCTTTCCAGCACACATCCTTCTGGGTTCAGCCGTCAGAAGCTTCATCAGGGAAAGCACATATTGCACCGAGCAAGAGAGACACTAGCTTATATGCTACATTGAAATTATAGATGGAAAGTGCTGCAAGAACTCAATGGAACTACAACCAGTGCAGAGTATCAGGCCTTGGCTTTTATGCATAAATAGGCATTTCACCATTTTTTATTGCATTTCAAAAAGGATGAACGAGATCCAACAGCTTATAAATAAGAAACATCATTTGCTTTGAGTAGTGGCAGGCACCAAAATTGCTCAACCCAACCACGTGTGGAGTCAGACTCCCGGCCAAAACTTGATGTAATGACCGACTTTCAGCAGGCTTCCAGATGTTCTCAAAGCCTGCGTGGACAACACAATTAACACGCTGGGCCATTACATGGCCCCTGGCACCCAGTTTCTGAGCATCTCACAATCTTTAATGCGTTCAGCCTCACAAAACCCCTGTGAGGAAAGGACATGCTAGAGATACCAGGCTCAGATAGCTTAAGAGACTTGCCCAGATCAGACTGCGGCAAAGAGGGGATTTGGACACTGTGTTTCTAGTGATAACACTGTTAGCACTAGTCCTTCCTCCCCCTCCCTTGGATAGTCAGGATCCAGCTCCATACCGAGGAGCTGCTATCTGACACCCCAACCTTGCTGTTAGACTAGTTGTGAACATTCAAACTCAGTATATCTATATGTGCAATTAATCCAAAGCAATAAATTTTAGTGAGTTTATTACTCTTGGATGTTGCATTTGCATGTGCACCTGGGATGGCAGTACATTGAGTTGGGGCAGATCAGCCCCAGCTGGCAGGGGGCTGGGGGATCAACCTGCCAGCCCTGGGCTGCCCACATCCTGGCTCAACGTGCTGCGGAGGGGCTGGCTGGGGTACATGGGTGCTCCAGTACAAGGTTAGCTGGAAGGCAGCCCTGCACTGAAGCCCCCTCGTGCCCCAGCCAGCCAGGTCAGTGCCGACACATGTGTTGCTGCACATGCAAAAACTCCGGAGAAGGGTAGTACTTGTATTTACAAGCACTATGTGATGCCGAGTTTATTAGTTTACTGCAGCCCAATAGGACTGAACGTGTAGATGCTGAGACGTTTACTGCAAAACGAATGAGGCAGCTCATGATGTTTACTGCAGTAAACATCTCAGGATGATGTGCCCCATGCCATGTTTAGGAATCACCTCCACGTCTGCAATAACAAAACCATTTGTGTGGAGCCAAGACAAAGTGCGGTGGACTCCTCTCAGGAACCGGACACGAGAACGTAAAACAAGCAGCTCAAGCCTCCAGGACTGAGCAGAGACAACACGAGAATCAGAATGACCTAACCCTGCGCTGCAGCAGCCTGCTCGCTAGACACATTTGGACGTAGCGAATGCAAAAGCTCCCAGCGGGCAGCCATATGTTCTGGAAACCGGCCCAATGAACACGCTCCCAGCTGGAGTGTTAATGGCAGGGCTCACCTCATCCAGAAATCTAGCTGTTCCTAGAAATTCTCCTCTCCCTGTCTCCAAAGCCACAGGAGCTGCCCCATGCTGTAGGGATGTGCTCTGAATCCACACTCCCATGTAAAGTCTAAACATCTTCAAGCACTTGAGACAGCAAGGAAAACTGAAGGTGAATGGAGTGCACACCAGGGCAGTGCTGCGTCTGCTCAAGTCTACAAGGCCTGAAACAACAGCTCCAGACTGGACGGTATCTTACCATCTCGTCGGGGTGTCAGCAACATATTCCACATTATGCACATCTCAGTGGCACCATTAAGCACTGTATTAATGGCCATTACTTCTGCATCCAGCTCATGCACTGATCTCCCAAACCCAAACTGCCTCTCTCAGCTGCCTAGCAGCCTAAACACCTGGCCTGGCTCCAGTGTCCTGCTGCCAACTCTTCTAGACAGGCAAGTCCAATAAAAACCGCCCCCCTGCAGTCCTCCAACTATGCACAGTGGGGCCAGCCCCGAAGAAACGGAATCAAGTATCCAGTACCTGGGGGCGGGGATGCTGCTCGGAGCATATGTATTTCTAGATTTAATTCAGTAGGAATCTTAGTTTTCAGGACAGTCTGGCTTTGACACTGGAGCCCCTCTCTGCAGCCCTAACATGCTGTGCAGGGACCTTGCCACATGGTTTAGCTCATGTTTCCTATGGAGCACACTAGACCTTGCTTACCGACCCACACATTGTGACTATGCACAAACCCCCACAAACAGAAAACAGATGGTCGAACCCTAAACAGTAAGCCAGTTAACAGTAAACCCAAATATCAGTGCTTTCTCCCTGGTCCCACCCTGCCTTACTCATGGGCTTCTCAGCAGAGCGCACCTCACCCAACAGCTATAGCTAAGGTTGCTGTACGGGACTGGTTAGCATGATAATGCCTGGCTGCTAGAAATGAACTGGTATTTGGGAAGATGCCCCTCTGCCGGCACGTGGAACAGAGCTTGCTTCAGGGCTGACACTGCCTCTTAAGGACGCACAGGAAACGAAAGTGATTCCTTGGTCCCTACCCTTCTGGGGTGTCACAAATTCAAAGTCACAGGCCAGCCGTTCTCAGGAAATCCCTGCCTGCTGACAGACCCACAAGGTTTGCACGCTGTTGGTCTTGGTTTCAGCAGTTTCCAAGAAAGGCTGCCTGATGCTCCGACTCATGTTAGGTAGCCACCCACATGACTGTTGGATTTGCATTATCCTTCCGGACAAAAAAGAGGAGACGAGATGCTAAAAGTGAAGGGATATGAGTGTGGTGGGGGGAGGTGTGTGTGAGGGGTGTCCCTCCATTGTGAGACCTACATCTCATTCTCACGATTCAGGGGCTGTCACATTGTGCTTCAGAAGGTGTCAGAACACACCAGGTGCTGACTAAAATAGGTACCAGACATCTCTGCTCATCGTCTCGTAACTTGTTTCAGAGCTTAACATAGCAACAAAGGTCTCATGCCACATCTCTATGGCTCAACTGTGCAATGTTATTCCCTTCACTGCTCCAGGTAGGAATGCAGCTCAACCACAGACCTGCCACGGCTCCTTTATATTCACGCATAGATCCCAATATGGTTTGGTGGAGATTTGGATGCAAACTCCAGCCTCAGGTGACTTCTTGCAGACTCTTGGCATATCTCTGAATGTCCAGGGATGACACACCCTCGCACCATCTCTCTGGACTGCATGTGCCCTGGAGTTCCTCCACATGCTTAGAAACCCCACGAAACATTCTGCAAACAACGGAGAAACAGAGACAACAATAAGGAAAGCAGCCAAGTGTGAAAGGACCCGACCCTACCCATCCCAGAGTCAAGGAGTGATAAATTCATTCCTGTACGTGAATGACCATCTCGCTTCACTCGTTTACTTCCAGCTTTTGGTAACAGAGGTTGGCTAACTCTCGTCTCTCCTGTTTCCATATTCAGGGTTTGTTGGCATATAGCTTGGGCCACATTCGCAGTTACAATGCAGCTATGTAAAGGGGCCTTGCACCGGGTCATCTCCTGACATCCATAACCCTTTACATAAGAATGAGCTCTCGCAGAAATGCAAATCCAACCCGAAATCTTTACTTGGTCTCTTGGGACTGGATTCACCTTCTCTGCACATGGTTCAGTCAAAGCCCTGCCTCACAGAAACATCTGGTGCTTCGCCTTACATGGTACTTTATGAAATACAGGGACTTTGGCATATATTTTCACTTAAGAGAAAGCTGGACTGGAATCGAAAGAGAAGCACATGGTAGCCCCAGATGCCAATGTGGAAGAAGTTCATGGCCATAACAGGCAGAACCAAACTCACAGCTTGGATCATCCCTCAGCTCTGGTGAAGTTTCCTGCCAAGTTTTGACATCCAGCTCAGCCCCTTGCCTGTCTAACCCATGACCCTCTTCCCCTGTTGTGGAAGCAGCATCCCATTCACTCCAAGTGAAATGGATTCAGCTGGTCCAGTCAGGACCACAGGCCTCTTTTCTCAAGCATGTGAGCATGCTCTCGATTGAACATGGGGCAGCAGTGAAGTTCACTGCCAGTATTTAAGGGTAGGTTCAGATCTATAAGGTGAGGCAAACTTTTGCTGAATTTAACCGAACGGTTTCTGAAAAGAAAGTTTTGGGGAATTAAGAAATCCATAAATGTATGATTGGTTGCCAAACTCAAAGCCTGGAGACAGGCCAGGAAACATTGCTATTAGGGCACAAAAGCTGCTCCAAAGATGGAATCTAAACAAAAAACGGACTCATACCATCGCCTTCGAGCCCAGAAGCAGACACCCAACCTGGGCCTGTCTTTTCTCCCTGACGTATCTCTAACCCCGGTGTATGGCTAGCTACGGTTACTCTGGCAACAGGTCAACAGAGCTGTTTCTGTCACCAGTTACTGCACAGTGTCACATTATACTTCACAATGAGATTCTGAGTCTGGTTTCATTCCCTCACCTTGTCTCGTAACCCCGCTCACACTGAGATGAGCAGCCCTGGACAGTCTTCATGGAGCCCAGGACAGGTCCCCGGCAGAAGGGGGAATCTAGAATACGACAGCAACAGGACGTTTAATCTACAGGAACCAGGTGTTAGTTGGTCACGGAAGGCATGTTACATATCTCTAGATGTCCAGGGATGACACAGACTCAACACCCCGCCGCTCAGTTGCCATAACTTCTAAGGCCATTTAAACATGCTTTGCAATGACCCTTTCCTCATTTGCAGCAGGTGTTTCTTGCATCCTCACTTTGCCATTGTCTTGCCAGAAGAATAAGAGCAGTGGAAGGATCAGCTGTACAAATCCAGAGCATCTGCTGAGACTTGTGAAATGATTCATTTCTCTGGCTACTTCAAAAAATTAAGCCTTATGCCTGGCACACTGGTAAGTGCTGGGTCTGAGATGTCTCAGGTTGCATGAAACTAAGAGGGAGGGAATGGAGCACAGGCTACACTATCAAGTCCCATACAGGTGCATGAGTGTCAGGGCTGCAAACCAGCCAGCAGAGAAACTCTTTCACTAAACCACCATTGGGGTGGAAACAACGACCAACTCCAAACCACAGCAGCAGTCTCAGAAGCAGCTGTGAGAAAGCAAGGATGGCTCAGCAAGTGACATACAACTTCCTTAGGGGGAGGTCCGTTTAAACCATACAAAAATGGGATGTGGATTGTGTTTTCTGTTGCAAACACATAGAAAAACATCAGGTCTGGAGCTCGGGAAATTTGTACGTCCAACAGAAAAAGCAACCAAAACTCTGAAAGAACAGGGCATTGGATGCAAAGCGAGACAGATGCATTGAGTTTGACTGTTTAAAAAAAGTTGTGTCCCTAGAAAAAAAGGAAGGAGAGAGCAGAAGGAAGATCTGAAACTAGGATGCTCTTTCATGCCCATTATCACTGCATAACTCTGATTTTTATTTCCTGCATCATCCACATCCAAGGGTTTCCAGTCTCCTTAGTAACCATATATTTCATTTTCTACCCAGGTCGACTCCTTGCTTCTCCCCACCCGGTCACTGCACAGCTCGTAGATCTCGTTGGTCACAAAGCCACTCTCAGTACTGGCCAATGTCACAAAGCCGCTCTCAGAAGTGTTCACAGCCACGTTCTCATAATCCCCAGAGAGGTTGTCCAGCATATTGTCTCCAGGCGAATGGAAGGAGGAAATCTTAGTGTCAGGCCTGGTTCCAGCCAGATCTGCTTCTGATTGTTTTTTAATTACATTGTAAATCTCCAGATTGGGACTGTTTGGCCTTTGGGGAGAGAGCCAGACATCCTGCTCCTTTGGACTTGCGTCTACTCGGTCTTGTCTCCTTAGTGAAGGAGGAGGGAGGTGGGAGGGAAAGAAAAAAAAAAAGACAGTTCCTTATCTGTTCTTCTAAGGGACAGGTCACAGAACAGTATTGCACATCTCTAACAATATGCTCAATGGTGGCATGTCAGGATCGTTACCACTATCAGCCTGGAGTCAAGGACATATCATTTCTTATTTGCAGCTGCAACAAAGGCATTACTGGTCTGATAATTTCCCTGTCATACTATGCTCATATGACTTACTCATTCTGACCTCACGTGAGTGGGACAAGAGAGAAATGGGACTGTGAGGTACCAGGTTTCAGCTCCAACATGATGGGATCCTGCTCTGGATCTACATCTCTATGAGCACCAGGAAGGAGGATACCGATGGCATGAGCTCATCGGGTGCCCATGGGTATTGCAGCAGCTGGGTGCTGGCCAAGGTGCTGAAGTATCTGAGCATGTGACTACCCACTCAAACAATCCCCCCAGATTCTCTAGTTGGTCTGAAATGGGATGCCAGGTGCTGACCAGTCAAACAGTGTTAGGGCAGTTTAAGGGCATCTTCATGTACATTCACACAATTTGTTAAGATCCATGAATGCAAGGAGTTGGGGAAATCAACTACCGCCCATCCATTTTTTGCTCATCCATTTCATCTGCCCTTATATTTGAATGCCCCCCCCCCCACAGCCTTGCCCAGTTTCCTCCTGAAAAATCCCTGATGCAGCAGTTGGTCCACAGAGCAAACAGTGCTTTAACTGTATTCTCTGTTCTTGTCTTTTCATCTCGAGTCTGAAAAGAAACGGGTCTCTGAGGCCCATTCACTCCTTCGTTTCTGCTGATGTAGGTACTAATTTCAGTGTGGGTCATGCCATCTCACCTGGCCAGTAGGAATAGGACACTTTTACATGGCCCAGTAAACAGTTTCATTCACTAACACTTTGGCCCATGTTGGAATTAGTGACCTACAATTCCCTGCTCTTCAACAAAGAATAGCCTGGCATCACCTGTGAGTGGACCAGGGTAGGAGGCAGAGTTTAAATATATTTTCAGTAAAAGATATAGGATTACACACATTAACAGTAAGTAGCAACACAAGAAGCCTTTAGCTGTTTTCATCTCATTCAGTAACACCACTGGGAAAACAGTGGATATTGTTCTGGGAGTCTCACGTGCACCTTCTTCATAACATTTTAATTTGAGTATAGTCCTCATCTTGATTTAAAGACTGAGCAGTGATAAGGGTAGAGTGACTCTATGCAGTTGTGTGGGGAAAGCAAAGAGAAGATACAGGAAAATAAAATGCTATGGGTACAATCTGGACAAATAATATTTGGTAATTCTAGGGAGAAATTCCCAAACTATCATTTTATGTACATGTTTGTGCAATGCCAGAAATACTGCATGGTTATAATCTGAATAAACTAACAGATTTACTATATCAGGACTGCAGCATGCAAAGCCCATACTGCTTTTGTAGGTGTTATTCAGACAAGCTGCACATTTCTGAACTATCTTGCTTGCACTGATTGGGTTTGCTTGTAAAGTCTGCAGCTAATTGCAACAAGGATTCTTGGGCCAGACAAGACACAAAAGGTTCATTTTTTGCTCAACAATATCACTTGCCTCTTTGAGAAAAGCCAAAAACAGAAGATGGCTGTAACGACCATCAGGAGGAGGAGCAGAGGGATGCTGGGGATTAAGATATAGGCAAGACTCAAAACAGGTTCTGGAGGGAAAAATATGAAATTACAACTTTTATCCACGTTGCAATGCATTTTGCATGCACAGAGTATTACAGAGACATCAACAGGTGTCTAAGGCAGTGCTGCTTAATGCTAGAAAAAATTTCCCAGTCCTACTCAGAGCTATCAGCAGCTATCCCCCCATCTCACAGTGACAATTTACCTACAGAACAATCTCCCAACTCAAGCATAGCAATTCAAACCAAACTGAGCTACATGAATATGAGATATATTAATTACTGTATGTTATTATATTAACTATACTACAGTATTAATTATTATATATTAAATAACCACAACAACCAGTTTAGGTTTGGAGCTGTAAAGATTCCGAACAAAATTTTCCACCATGGGTGTCTAGATTCAGACTTCTACATTCATGGTTAGATACCCGAATATGCAGCTCAACATTCAAGGTCAGTGGAAGCTGCAGGCATGTCTACAGGGAGAGGGTATGACTAGCCACTGAACGTGCTGCTTACCTTTGGCTTCTTTAAGTGTTACATTAGCCTCCTCCCTGATCGGTTCTTCTGGGGATGTTGGTTTCAGGGATCCTATGACAACATCTTGGATAAAAGACCTTGGTTAATATTGTATATACTTATTAAGTACTGGAGGATATATTAATTTCCCAGCTGGGAATAAAGGAACCTAATTTTTCCTTTTTGCATGAATACTAGAACATAGGAATTGCCTGACTGGGTCAGAATCATGATCCGTCTAGTCTCCAAATATATTTAGTACAAGCTATGTCAGCAGTACTGAAGGATAACCTGTCTTCCAGCAGGATGTGTGAGATAACAGGAAGGGGAAATGGCAGTATTTAAGCTAAACTGTAGATGCCCTAATTTGTTAGACATATTCCCAGAGTTGGACAACTGGCTGTCATTTCACTCAGTCTAATCTTATGAAGGTAATGATGGATTTAAGGAATGAGACATGGTGTCTTCTGAAAGGTCCAAGCATCCATCAGAAGGAATTTCAGAGTGGGAAGTATTGTTAATGACCAAGTAACAAATTTCCTTCTGCCTCTACTCAGCAATAGGCAGGCTAATGTTTGAACTTTCAATACATCCAACTTCAGTCCTCTTCTCCCCTCACACAGCAAAAGGGATGAAGTCAGTCCACTAGCACCAAATTGATGCCTTTGACCTTTCAGATGCAAATCACTAATTTAAAGGTCATACTTACAGGTCCAAAATACTTTGTACAGCTTTGGCATTGATTTGTCTGGCAGCCACAACCACCAGTTTAGGTTTGAAGCTATGAAGATGCCAGACAAAGTTTTCAATCATGGGTGTCTAGATTCAGACTTCTACGTTCATGGTTAGATATCTGAATACTCAGCTCAACATTCAAGGTCAGTGGAAGCTGCAGGCATGTCTACAGGGAGAGGGTATGACTAGCCATTGAACGTGCTGCCTACCTTTTACATGAGTCTCCTCTTTGATCGGTTCTTCTGGGGACGTTGGTTTCAGAGACCCTAAGACAACACAAGGTAAAAGACCATGGTTAATATTGTATATATTCATTAAGTACTGGAGAAACTCAAGAAGTTGTCACAAAGAAAGGAGAATAAAGGATTCAGACACTGCCATCTGCAAACAGGATGTTTTAATCTTTTCTTCTTTGGATGTGAGCTCCACAGCACGGCGACAGCTCCAAATCCAGCACCAACACCATGTCAAGCCAGGCTGCTGCCTATGGAGTTTAGGAGCCAACCAGAAGGAAATGCTAAAAGGAGGAAACCCTCTTTGTGCAGTGTCTTTTCAGTCTCTCGAGATCTATGCATTTAGGAATGGAAGTGAATATTTTTACCAATTCCCTCCCCCAAACACAAGCGTCTGGGACTTACCCACATGAGAGTCCTCTTCCGGGGCACTTGTGGGCTTGTCTAAAGAAAAAACAATACACGTTTACATGCTTGACTAGAATCACCCAGTCTAGTAAATGCAGTGAGAGAACTTGTGTTGGCCTTTGTAAAGGCGTGCTCTGCCCTCACGCCACAGTTCATAGATTCATAGACGTTTGGGTCAGAAAGGATCTCAATAGATCATCGAGTCTGACCCCTGCCCTGGGCAGGAAAGAGTGCTGGGGTTAGATGATCCCAGCCAGGTGCATGTCTAGCCTCCTCTTAAAGACCCTCAAGGTAGGGGAGAGCACCACCTCCCTTGGGAGCCCATAAAAGACTCTGAACATTTACAAAGTCCTTTGAAAATCTCTTGGAGTCTCTAAGTCTGTCCATTCTCACAAGGCCACTAACTAAGGCAGTATTGAGACCCTCCTGTTTAAAAGACTTTATTCATGTAAATGCATTTGTCTCCCTGTACTGAGGAGATAAGCTGGGACAATGTCATCTGGTTGGAATATGCCCTCCCTTGGGAACAAGAATACAGTCATTTTTACACAACGTGGAGTAGCTCATTACCAAGAGGATATTTGCAAATGAAGTTATTCTTCACGTTGCATCTGTCATCATTCCACTGAAACATATAAGGACCTCCGACACCAGGTGGGGCAGAGGGCTGGTGATACATCACGACACAGATTTCGCTCCCGCAGGAGGGCTCATCTTCATACCAGTTCCTAGGAAAACCAACCAAACATTGCGTCAGATAGGACATGGCTCCCTACAAACCTGGAACATAGCATAGGACCCTAAGCATCAGTGATAGCATAACTAGAGCTGTATATGGCTTGACATGCATGCTCTCATCAGCTGGAGTCATGCTAATGCTAATAAGAAGAATGGTGTGTTGTTTCGCACCAAACTTGCAGGTTCAGTCCCTGGTTAGACCAGGTGATCTCTTGAGGTCCTTTCCAGCTGGGAAAGGACATTTTCACAGGACAGGAGCTCCGAAGCTGAGCTGGTTAACAGAATGACTTTTTGCTGTCAAGAGAGTATTTGAATACCACTTAGAGATCTCAGAACTGGAAGAGAAGGGGAGGTCAAAGGACATAAGGGAGTTAGGTACTAAAGCCCAGGGGAAATCCAACGTGGGCTGAGAATCTCACTCCCTTACTCACAGTAAAACAAACATAAACTCAAGGTTTACTGCAATTTTAGGGCAAAAACAGCTGAGGCCAGAGATCATAAATCTTCATTGCCTACACGATTTTAACTTCTATTTTCCAAGCAAGTGAAGAAGCTGATGCAGAATCTCTTTTCCTCTGGCTAGAAATGCACGAAAATGAAAAACCCGTCTTGAGAGAGAGGCTTTTTCCAGCAATAAGAAAATACTGCAGCTGGAAAAAGGACAGCACCTTCCAAATGGAGCACTGGCAACCTTCCTTTGTTATTTAGCACCTCCATTATGTACCAATTACTGTGCCGGCATTTTAGCGCTTACACTGTTAGAAGAGTAAAACTTTTAAGTTTATATAGCTGGACTTTGGCAAAACGCTCATTCAAGAGTTCAGTATCCAAGAGCTCCTAAGAGACATTAGGCAAGTCTCGTAGCCACAGTGATTTATGCTCGCTGGCCTCAATCTTTTTTGTCTTAAAAATATACAGAAACGGTCAGAGTTTACCTCAGTCTCACTCGCTGCGAGTAAGGGAGAAAGGAGCTGGCACATGTGGAAACCTGGCCCCTAAAACAGAAACAATTCCAGATCTGTCAGATTATTTCACAAGGGAAACTACTGGACAGATGTCAAACCAAAAGGCTTGCATTCATTATAAGGCATTCTTTCCAATTCTGGTTTCCAGCACATGCAACTTTGCTCGTTGTATTACAGGTTTCTCGATGGAAAAAAACAATCTATGTGGATCCCAGTGTTCTAATACAAAAGGTGATTTTATAGAGGAAATGCTAGTTAACTGAGAAAAAAAAAAGTGTCGACCTACCACGTTGGGCCACATCCCCTGGAAATAAGTTGGCACAGCCCAGGTCCTGCAACTGAAGTCAACTGAGCACTGCTCATTCATAACTGCAGGGAGTCTAGCCCCAAATTGCCACCATCTACATTCAGGGATTCAGACCAGAAAGGGTACAGGAGAACAACCCCTGAGACAGGGTCTCTTTGGAGCTCAGAACAGAAGCTGCACAGAAGTTGCAGCCACAGATCCAGTCCATCTCTTGACCTGCAGTTCACAGGGGGAGCCGTAGAGGCCGGTTCTCTTCACATCTGGCTTTGCTGCGACCTAAAGGGTGAGCATTTTCTCCAACAATTCGCCTCACCTTGATCTCAATATGCACATGCACCACGCTCCTCTCCGCTTGCTGGAAGATACCAACATCTGCTTTTCCTCCACTCTCTCAACAAACTCATCCTAAGAAGTCGAGAAAAAAAGAGCAGGCCCTTTCCCTTACTGTGGCTTATCGATCTTGCACTAATCGACAGGGTATTTTAATGCACACGGAAGAACTCCGATTAAGACTTTGCCATATATACCCAGTTAAGTGATGCCATAAAATATTTAATTACCATTGGGCTATTTAATGAAGTAGATGAGTCGATCACTATAAAAGCTGCAAAACTTGCCAGATAATGAAGGGAATAGTTCCCATGCGTTCACTTTTTTTTTTTAAAGTAACTTTAATTAGCAGTTCTGCAGTAACTGCCTCTTTGGCAAAACTTTCTTGAACCAGCAAATTCACTGCAGTATTGGCCTCCTATTGCTTAGGCTTTCAGGGGTCTGGCAGCATTTGGAGTATAAATTATTCTCTCTCTATACCCAGAAAACACAAACTGCTGATGGGTTTATTCTTGCTGATCCCCTAGAAAGCTGGGCCTTACAGGCAGGCCTGGCTTTTAAGGCTAAACGCATTCTGGTTCGATAATAACTAAACAGTGTGTGGAAGCTAGGAATGTATCAGGATTGTATTCTGTAGCACAGTATTACAAGGGCATAATTACAGAAATATTCATGGACCCCCTTGCTTCAAGGCAAAAAATCCTACCAAGCCCTGTAAGGATCTCCATTTCCTTTGTATTTCTTAAGCCTTGTCCACTTGCTTCAAGGCAAAACACATATCAAGCCCTGTAAGGATTTCCATGAACTCTGTATTTCTCAAGCCCTGTTTTCTCTTGCTGTAATCAGAGGGCGTGACCCGCCGTGCGGGGGAGCAATGGGGTCCTGCCACTTAGGGTCAAACACCACTTTGTACATGCTTTGGATAGGACTTTCATGCCGCCAGGGCATGCCTGTACTGCCTCTGGGCTGAGCCCAGCAATGCCTCCTCGCTCGCTCCCCCTTGGCACGCTCCAGATCTTGGATAAGACAACACAGCACAGCCCCTAGCGCGCACCTTGGGTGTGTTTATTGGTGCGCTAAGGCAGCGACATGGCCTCATCCTGGATTTGGTGTACTGTGCTTCACTGTAGCGCTCTGGGGCTCAACACAGAAGCAGCGTACAGAAGACTACTACCATTACCGAAATCCGGATGAGCTGCCATCAGACCATGCGTACAGGTCCTGACAGTCTGTGCTGTTATCCACGTCCTCCCCTTTCCTCCTCAGGCCTATCCAAAAGTCTCCATCCGAAGCCAAGAGCCCCTCAATAAATTTTTCAATCAGTCTCTGCTCCGCTTCTGATTCAATGCTGACGAGGTGCCCACCATCCCTTCTGCAGGCCTGATGAGCTTCGGCAAAGCTGATCCTCCGCGAGGCATCATGGAAGTACACTATCTTGTAGCAGGGGCGCTGAGTTCCACCCCGGCAAACTGTCTGTCCTACAGAGAGGAAAATAAGCTAGTTACAGAGACACTGGGCATTAGCACAGAGAGCAAGCAGATACCGTCCCTTCTCACGCCGGATGACATTTGCACACTGCAGCAGTTTGTATAAAAATCTCTCGGTCCCCCTCGTTATACATAAATGAGGCACAATTGGGCATTTTCAAACTTTGCTTACTGCACACCCTAGCCTAGACCAGTCTGCACAGCGCTGCTTTCTCCGATGCGGGACTCCCCTGCTTTACCAGGTGCTCTCTGCAATACGAGACCTTTTGCACTTCCCTACACATAGGGAATGCCTGGCCAGTGAGCAAATGTGACCCAAAATCTTTTTACAAAAAAGAGAGATGCTGCATTATGTGCCATTTGATAGGAACTTAACTGGTTAAAAACTCACCAAGACAGTTGCAGGCCCAGGAATAATAATTATTTACCTCCTGGGAGGTGCAGAATAGGTTTGGGGAGCTGGACACACACACCCGCAGCCTGACATGGTAAGATTGTTGCAGACTGCAGTGCCCTTCACTTCTGAGGAAGTAAACAGCGACTGTTTTCAGATGGCCACGAGCCAACGTCTAGCTCATGCATGGAGCAGCGAGGCTTATTTTGATTGTAAAAGAAGGAAAGTGCAGATCAAAGTGAGCAGACACGCTTTGGCTATAAATGGTGTCCTCGAACTTTTCATAACCAAACACTCCAACACATTTAAACAGTGGAAACAAATTTTGTTTTACAGAACAAATATTTCTTCTCGAGCATGTGATGTACACAACCAGCAATGGCAGTGTAAATAGAAATGCATCGAGGATGGGTTGCTCTTAACTTCTGCATCCTAATCCAACATTTCTAAAAAAAAGCCTGCCTGCCTTTTTCCAACCCTACACCCTTCAGCTGGGCCACTAATATAATGAGAACTGAAATGCTTTCTGCATTGGAGATTTAAATCCAGTAAAGAGCGGGATGTTTGAAACTGCAGCAACAGCTAACACATCCCAAAGCAGTTACACGGGTGGGTGCTATAAAAGCATCATTTAAAGCCCGTCTCTACACAGACTGCATTTTTGACTGACAGTTTCCCAGGCATGCAGCATTGGTGGAAAAGACGAGATACTCTACCTCCTCTGAGGAACAGGTCCGCTGCTATCAGGAAAGCAACAGGGGAGATACAGATAGCAAATCATTATCAGTCTGCAGGAACTGTATAGGAATAGCATCAATTCCTAATTACCGAGCTATTCCCACAAACTGGCAGAACATCCGAGTCTGGGCGGCCAAACTCGCCATTGCTTTTAGCTAAGGAAAAATCGAATGCAGCCGATCACTTCCCAGATGCCCCTGCAAGTTAGCTGTCCAAATAGTGACTTCGCTGTGTGGCGAGTTATCGATTAGGCAACGGAGAGATGCTCCATACCCAATTTTTGTCAATACGAAACAACAGCCCTTTGCTTGGGTTTCTCCCCTGATTTAATCCCTGCCTTCTCACCACCTGCGAAGTGCCAAGGAGCTTCGGACAAGGCTCAGAGTCCACAGGCCACGGAGCTGCCAGCAGCCCGACAGACTAACTCCCCGCGAGGTACGGCTCTCCCAAGACAAGAGGGGAGCCAGCCGGTTGCAGTGGGGGGCAGAAAGTACATTTCTTCCACACGCTGTAGCCCATCTCTGGAGCTCGCTGCTCCCCACTCCTGGCCGAGTCCGGAAAGGGCTGGAGGCGCAGGCACTGCTGCTGTGACACGCTCGAGGGAGGGGGCAGCAGCATGCAGGTGCCCCTTGCACTCCCCTTGCACACCTGGTTGCCGAGGTAACAAGCCCCGGTTACCTGCATGTCGCTTAGCGTTAGACGGCCGGCTCCCGTGAGCCCACTACAAGACACGGCCCCGAGCAGCCCTCGCCGGCCACCCGCCGGGCTCCGAGGCTACCGCCGGGAGCACTGAGCACCCGCCGTTTCCTGGCAGCCCCGGAGCTGTCAGGGGAACCCGCGGAGGACGGCCCGCGCCCGGGAGGGGCGCGCACCAACCCCAGGGGCTTCCTCAGCCTGATGACGGGTCTTGCTCAAACCCCCTTTCCAACTTGTTTTTAAGTTGGGCAAATCAAAGGGAGCCGCTTCTTCACCAGGGGCTGCGGCTGGGCAGACTCACCGCTCAGCAGCCTGGCCCCGCCGGCCCGGCCGCAGCCCAGCAGCGCGACGCACAGCGCGGCCGCCGCCACCAG